ATTCTAACTCAAGCAGGATGATAGGCTAGAATTAAATCCCAACAAGACTTTAGGGACTGTAATATGCTCTCTCTGACTGAAACATGGCTGACCCTGTCAGTACTATCAATCAGTGTAGACGGCCAATTGTTTCTCAGTACACCCTAGGGATAGAACATCAGAAGCCAGTAAATCAAGGGCATGTGTCTTATTGTCAACAGCAAATGGTGTGACACAATCAATGCTGTGACTTTATCTGGACACTTCTCCTTAATCCTTTAAGAGCCCCCTCCTGTGCTCACTTTACACTCATGACTGTATGGCCACTTTCAGCTCCAACCACATTGTAAAATTGCTGATGAGTGATGACGTATTGGTGGGCCTGACCACTGACAATACCGCACAATACGAATTAACAATCACACACATATCAAACATCATATACAAATATGATAAACAATTCAATTGTAAATCTTAATGGAATGAATAATGAGTGGAAAGACTGAAGCATAATAATCAAACATAATATGCAATTTTTTATATGTAAATATGACATCTGTGCCATTCTCAGTCTCAGTCTTATGTCTAAGAGCGAGTTCAAAAGGTTGGGTGAATCTCGGGTCCTGAGGTTCTCAACTTTGGCTCTCAAGGTCCACTTTCCTCCATAGTTTTTTCTCCAGCCTTGATCACCTGCGTGTAACTTTCTAGTAATCCTGAAGACCTTGATTGGTTTGTTCACATGTGTTTGATCAGGGTTGGAGCTGAACTCTGCAGGAAAGTTGACCTCAACTTCCAAAGTTGAGATCCCCTGCTTTAGTTGGCACTATCTTCAAATTGACTTTTGTCCTTAAAGCAGGGGTTCCTAGCCATCCTCCTGGAGAGCTACTGTCCTGCAGAGTTCAGCTCAAACCCTAAATCAAACAAACCTGAACCAAAACAGATTATTTTATGGCTCACATGGGAGAAGATTAGAGTTTCCCTGCATGGTTGGTATAACAACAGGTGAACTAAGAAACAGGAGAGCAGGAGTCAGATGCAATATTTTAATGAAGCACTAAACACTTTAGCATAAAGACACTATAAACAATCTATGAGAAGAAAAAAAAGAAACAGGAACTGAGCACATCAACGTTACTGTCAAGGTGGGACAGGACCTGACAAAGAACACTAGCAGCACAGGGGCTAAATAAACAAGAAACGAACATGACACAGCAAAGATAAAACAAAAGCCAGAGGCACAGCTGTGCCATATGTCAGAAGGCTTTGGGGCCAAACACGTTTTCTCTTTCTAAGCTCAGATTCTAAGCCTTTTTTCTTTTTTGGTGAAAGGCAAAATTATGATGGCTTATGGCTTTACTCACCCTTATGCCATCCAAAATGTACTGTATATGATTTTCTTTCTTCAAATGAACACAAACACATTTAAATAAATTAATGCATCCCCAGTTGGTGAATCAATGTATTCTGAAGCAAAACAGTGGTGTGTCTAAGAAAATTACTAATATTTTAAATATTAACTGGGATAAACTGGGAAAGGTGTGCCAGCTCTAATGTCAACTGTCAATCACAGCACTGGACTGGAAAAGCTCTACAGATACAACCACACTCTGAGTCTCCGTTCATTGCATGTACTAGGTTTGTGTTCCAAGCATTGTCCTTACAATTTTGATTCATTAGTGTAGCTTCTTTTTTGAGAGAAGTTCACTACTGGAGTGTATTACTACTCCTCTCTATTGCTGACAGGAACATATTAAAGGAATGATAGCATTTACAATGCAATGTTGTCACATGCATTTCCATATTTGGTTTCAGTAATCCATTTTAGACCCCATTTCCACCTGTATTTAGCAGTGATACATGCCTTAATTTTTAATCAGTGAATGAAATTATTGCAATATAATATAAATTTAGATTACATGATTTCACTCAATTAACAAGATGAACAATAAAGATGTTTGAAATGTACACCTAATTCATGATAACTTATGATTATCAGATCATTTACAATAATAAACAACAATAATAAAAGTTTCACATACATAGCACAAACTGATGAGACCTCGGCTTGTAATTTGCAGTCAATGATTGCTTGATCCATCTGCTCTCACATTTAAATAGTCTGCTACACATAAGCAAGCATCTCACTGCATCAGAGTTCTCTCATTGATGTCTTTCTCCTCCCCTGCACCACCTGTCTACATCTGCTTACAAGGACTATGACGTATATCTGTTAGTGCAGCTGCAGGTCATGCATGTTCACTACAGTGTGTATTAGCAGTAGAAAGTTTACAGCAAAAGCAGCAACTTTACCTTCCATTCCAGATCTGTTAATAGTAAAATATATTCTGAGAGGTGTCATGACTTATGAATTGTGAATTGTTTGGGAAATGCACAAAATTTATCAAACATTTTACTTAAACTGATGTTGTTTTAAATTTATTATCTTTGTAGAGGTACTTGCCTCAGTGACAAATATATTTTTTTCTTTGTGAATTGGGCACAAGACAAATCTCTCTTCATAAAAAAGGATAGTGCTGGTCCTTGATTATGATTTGGTAAGCCACATTCAAAGCCATTGTAAAATACTCTATAAACACATACCTGTGATCTCTTTACATCATTCTTACATTGTATAAAAGCAATAAGCCCTGTGAAACAGTGATTTATAGTCATTTTAGAAAAGTTAAGCTGGTGTTCCGCTCTGTGCTTAACAAAGCCCCTAAACTGTTTTAAAATCATTATAAATCACAACTTATTGCTTATTGCTTCATTACAAAGTTTGTAAACTGTGTGTGTGTTTATGGTTTTTAGTGATAAAATGCACCTTTTAGTTAATTTACATAATAACAGTCTCTCATGACTTGGCTTCAGGTCAATTCTGCAATACATTTTTATATTTATTGTAAATTTGGTTATAGTTACTATAACATCACTACAACGAATATGGGAATAACATATGCTGTTGAGAAGATATTTGTTATGTCACTGCAACAAATACGGTATGGTCTGGCTACATCCAACAACTATTTCAGGGAATTTTTTCTCATCAAACTGTGAATGCATCCTACTACATCTGATGAGCCATTAACTAATTTAATTTCTGATGTTCTCAGAAACAGGTCCAAAAATATGAAACAATGCTCTGGAACACAAAATGGTACAAAAATATGAAGAAAGAAAATATACTAAGGTACAAAATGTTGTCGATTATAATGATGATAATGTACTTTATCTTCATTTGTACCCAACAAACATCAGTATTTCACCAAATTACAACTGCAAAATTACTGAAGCATCAATCAAACAATGTAAACCATATTTCTTTATTAAAGATCAAGAAACTCCAAGCAGCATATTCATAAATAAAATAAGAGTCTCCCTTAGATGTAATGTTACAGACTATGCTATGATACTGTTATATTTCATGGAATATTGGATGTTTTTATCTGAAATCAAAGGGGCACAAGTGTAAGGCAGGGAAGACACTTAACCCTACAAATTACACATCCTTACCACCACTGTCGGCATCTCAAAGCCACAGGTTGTGTTACACTGTGTAATATATCACTTTGGTTCACATTAGTAACTACTTGGACTTGTACAAAATATACAGGATACAACCTTGAGTTATGACTGACAAGCATGTACAGGGTGAAATCTTCTCGGAAAATGGTCTATGTGCTCCACGCTGACAAATGTCCTTTTCTTTGTGAGCTGACGAATGGCAAATTTCAGAGGGTCTGTGGAATGGCAACAGGAAAATACACACAGGTAGCTGTAAATGGAGTGAGTGTATAAGGTTGTTCTGGTTTAGGTCACTAACATAACACGGCTGAGATTCATAATTGGTCCGACCCTCCTGAAAAACGATTAAAAAACAGCATGTAAAAAGAAATGTAAAAGTTTAATTGTACAGTAAAAAATAATTAATATGTGTGTTTGGACTATTAGAATTGCCTGCAAGAGATGTTTGTCCAGTTGTGGGCATACCAACATAGCTTCATTTACACCAATCACATACAGTATTCCCTTGCAACTCATTAGGAAAAAAGATATCACAACATGTAAATTATGAAAATCATTTCATATACAAGTTTTTTTTTGTCTATATACTCCGTGTGAGTTGTTGTACAGTTGTACAAAAAAAGAAAAAAAGTTTTGGCAGAATATCAGAAAAGCAATGATAATACAGCTGTTTTACAAATGACAGCATGAACTGGTGTAAAATGTCCTTGATGTGCGACAAATTAAAGTGTCGCTATGTTTCTGGAATATAATTGTTCTCTCTGGGCTGGTTGTGCTCACGGATTGATAGTTTCAAAATAGTCTGAAAACACAGTTAAAACTAAACAAAAAATCAAAACAAAACAAAACAAAAAATAAAAAACTTTTTTCAGTGCTGTTGCCATGATTGCAAAGTTTTAGCTTGTCTGACATGGCATTTCTGCACAAGTCACTGCTATACTATTTTGAATGGTTAGCCTTTGCTTGTTCAGTAAACCCATAAACAATATAAACTCAATACAAGCACAAAAATCTATATCAGTAATCAACAACCAAAATCAGAAAAGGAAGCAAAATTAAAATGGCCTCACTGTTTGCAGGTTGAAGAAGGTTTATGACTGTAAAAGGGGTGCATAATTATCAGCGCTCAGTTTTTGGGTTCCTACAGCCGTGTATGATCATCTAGTAACAAAACGTGGAGAGACATCTTTTATTTCGGCACTTAGAAAACAATCACAATGAATCTGAGTCTTTACCCATAGAGAACAAAATTCACAAAGCCATTCAAACAGTCGTTTTGAATTATTTTTAAATGTCCTTTTTTGTTGTTCATTTGTTTTTGTAACTCAACTTCAAAAATTGAGAATATTCAAAATACACTTTTACTTACTTTGCTCTTTCAGTATTTACAAATATGTACAAGAAAAAATTATTTCTCATGTTTTCATTTTTTTCATAATAAAAATCTCTACATACTCCCAAACCCAACCCCCCCCTCCTCTTTTTACACTGCCACAGTTTCCAAAGCTCCAACAGCAGCTCAGCTTTCTTCCTTTGAAAAGCAAGTGTGAGGCAGCACATGGTGACGATGACCTTAGATGGATGTACTATGCTCAATAGCTTCTGGGATGGGTCCTCCTGGTACTGACTGGTAGGACATTGGCATGGGCGTCTTGGCGGGACTCTGTCGGAACAGGGCCCCGTTGGGAGCCCTGTGTTTGCATTGGATGGAGGGCATGGTGGAGCTGCTGAGAGGAAGGGGTAGGGTGCTGCCAGGACCTTGGGCCAGTGTCCGGCCCACCCCATGAGCTTGCTCTGGGAGGAAGGTGCTCACAGACAGGCCCGTGCCCGGGTAGTCTCGCACAGCCTCCCGCTGCTGGCTGGGCGGCATGCTGCCGATGTCCAGGGCAGAGATCTCGATAGATGGTGCGGGGATCTGCTTGTGTGCCATGTCCTCGTCCATAAGACTGTTCATACGCCGATGCACCTGTTCCAGGTTCACCTCCTTGTCCTAGAGAGGGTGAGAGAAGAAAGGAGGGACAGAGAGGCTGAGATCTGCTGGTTCCAGGATGGGATTTTTGCTTTTAAGCTCCATGCAAGTAAGGCTTATTTGTGTTTGAAAGAGAAGATTTATAGAATGTGCACCTTGAAATCAAATTTGGCCATTGGGCATGTAAAATAATAATTTTTCGAGTGACACTAAACCTGCCATTACAATTAACATCACTAACAACTTTAGTGCTGGAACCAACCTGCATTTCATAAAAGACATCAACATTAAAATGTACATTAATTATGATTGTAGTTAATTTTAAGTTAAAACAGCATGCATTTTAATACTGTGTACTTGGAATTTAGTAATTTAAAGTGTTTTCAAAGTTTGTTTCAAGCTCATTATATATATACTGTGTATATAAATACAGTATCTCACAGAAGTGAGTACACCCCTCACATTTTTGTAATAATTTTATTATATCTTTTCATGTAAATGACACTTTGCTACAATGTAAAGTAGTGAGTGTACCGCTTATATAACAGTGTAAATTTGTTGTCCCCTCAAAATAACTCAACACACAGCCATTAATGTCTAAACCGCTGGCCACAAAAGTGAGTACACCCCTAAGTGAAAATGTCCAAATTGGTCCCAATTAGCCATTTTCTAATGTGTCATGTGACTCATTAGTGTTACAAGGTCTCAGGTGTGAATGGGGAGCAGGTGTGTTAAATTTGGTGTTATCGCTCTCAGTCTCTCATACTGGTCACTGGAAGTTCAACATGGCACCTCATGGCAAAGACACTCTGAGGATCTGAAAAAAAGCTCTACATAAAGATGGCGTAGGCTATAAGAAGATTGCCAAGACCCTGAAACTGAGCTGCAGCACAGTGGCCAAGACCATACAGCGGTTTAACAGGACAGCTTCCACTCAAAATATTGACACTTTGGGCCCAATTTGGACATTTTCACTTAGGGATGTACTCACTTTGGTGGCCAGCGGTTTAGACATGAATGGCTTTGTGTTTAGATATTTTGAGGGGACAGCAAATTTACACTGTTATACAAGCTGTAACTTCATCTGTAAATGTTTCCTCTAGGAATTATAAAGTTCAGAGTATATATGGATCAAACAATAAAACTATTAAATTGTAAAAAGAGAGAGAGAGAGAGAGAGAGAGAGAGAGAGAATATTGCTCCATTGCTTGAATACTATTTGAACTTAGCAAATTTAACTTAGTAATTCAAAGCCAAGGTGGAGAGGCCTGACTAGTCCATAAGTCTCAACTAATCTACAATTCATTTTGAATATTTATTTTTTTGAATTAATACATTTTATTTTTTAGAATTATGCAGAAGAAATACAGATTGGCTCCAGAGTCCACCACTGTTATAGTAAGGTCACAATCTGTTACACAAAATAATTTGTTAAGATCTCACAGCATCCTCAAATATGTAGATTAATGAAGCTTTGCAGCATCAAATGCAAAGACACATTAGAGAGTAATGAAGCTTTAGGGAGGGATAGGTCAGGAGTTATGCCTGGAATTGCAAAGCAATTGAACTGGGTAAATTAGTCTGTCATGTTAGGTTGAAGCAGACTACAAATATTTCCAAGGGGATACATGCTTCCACACATTTCCCACAATCTCATCGCTGTTTAGTAATCCTATTTGTCTTAACTAATGAAGAGAGTTGGGTTAAAATTTAAGGTATAATGACGTAAGATTTTATAAAAAAAATTAAATAAATAAATATATATATATATATATATATATATATATATACAGTATATATACACAAA